CTCCTTAGACCTTGCAGTGAATGGTTTTGTTACCTTTAAGACTTAAGCCAAGAAAACATTTTCCACCATGTAGGTAGGTGTTTTGATGTGAGGTACTTTAAATGGTATCAAACCTTGTGTTACTTACTGCCACCAATTCCCTACGTTTTTGTGCTCCTCCTCAGTAGCAGATTAATAGTCTGTTCTTGGTAACTGTCTCACCTCTTGTTGTGTGTTTGAGAGACCTGTTCTTCATCTTTGCCTGATGTCAACAGCTGGAAGTGCTTTTAATTTGTAGGCTCTGGGTGGTTCTTTGTTTAAAACTACAGAAAAGACATATAGTTAATGTTAGTACCTGGGTAAGAAGGAATTTGTGTGTGTGTGGTTAAAATTATAAAAGTGCTAGCAACTAAATTATAAACAGCAAGAACTGTTAATTAATTTTGTAAATAAAATGCACATCCTCTTTTTGAACAGTGAGACTATCAACAACAAATACTGTATCCTTTGAAAAAGATGTGTGATGTTTAAGCTTCTTGAATGTTGTCTTTTATAATTTAGCATATTTTAACACCAGAATTTTCCATCACACTATCCACATTTAAAATATTCAATTAAGATATCAAAAACAAAACTTCATAGAAATTCTCTATGTACTATTCTAAGAAACAATATATGACATATATGTTTTCCATTTGCATAAATTTGGAACTAGAATTCACTGATATTTTATAAAAAAACTACATATGCATGTACATATAAGCTTTTCTTCATAATGTTTTCTGTCTTATCCTCTTCCTCTTCCTTCTCCTCTTCCTCCTTTGTTATGTAACATTACAGTTAGAAATCGCATCCAGCTGGTCAGTACAGAGTTCTGAAAACAATAATGAATGATGGGGCTTTATTTTTCTGTCATGTATAGGAATTCCTAACATTGGCATTTTAAGGTTAGTCATTCCTCCATAATCACTGATTACCCAAGACATTTTAGAGCCTTTGCCTTGTGTTCCTTAAAGTGTGTGAGAGTCCCTGCATCAGCTGGGAAGAGCTGCAGGCTTAGAACCTCACAGAAAAAAATTCAGGCAAAAATATAAAGGTCAAGGAAAGGAAACCTTTTTAACTGAGCTAAGTTTTTAATTAATTAATTAATTAATTACTTTTACAAGCTTGCTGTGTACCCTAGACAATCTTCTTGCTTCAGCCTCTGGACTGCCAGGATTATGTGTCCATGCTGAATTAGCATGTCAGAAGTGTTTATTTAGAAGCTCCACTTGGGATCTCCCATTTGACTTGACTAATAACAATTACATCATATGACCTTTGCAAAGAAGGTTTGGAAAATATATTTTCAGTCAGGTACATTAAAAGCCCAAATACTATCAGGGTTCTGTTAACTCAACAAAAGGAAACTAAAAGTTAAATAGGCAAATAGTTTTATCTGCTACATCTATGGCTTTCAAGGCCCAAAAGACAACCAATGCCGAGTTCCTGTGACAATGTACTCCTCAAACAGGATGCCTTTTAAAGTCACTTAAACTTTACATTTCACATTTTATCAGATTTAAACAGAGGGGTGTTGGCCATAAGAGCCCACAGAAATCCCCAAACAGCCCAGGTTGTTTCCAAGATTATAGGACACTCTCCCCAAAACGATAGAAAAGTCCCATTGCTGAGGACAACTCATTGAACTTGGAGAAGACAAGCTGTTGCCTACATAGAGCCTTCATTCCTAATTTCTGGTATCTTTGTTACAGGAAAGTACTCTGCACATTACCAAAAGAGAAACATAAACACCAACCGAACCGTAAATGCTGAATTGACTGAGGGCCCACTTCATAGAACATATATATGACAGTACTATTAGATCACACAAGGGCCTAGGGTAAAACCAAAACTACTGTTATAAACATAGTGAAAAGCAAAGGGTAAAAAATAGCAATAAAATGATTCCTAATGATGTTCTGTATACTTATTAAGCAGTGCCTTGCTCAACCACCATCAGAGAAGCTTCCTACAGCAGCAGAAGAAAACAAATATAGAGACGCACAGCCAAAATTATGGAGACAGTAATAGACCTTGGAACACTCAGCCCTAAATGGGTTTTTTTTTCCATCAAATTTTTCCTCTCTAGGTTCATGGAATCCTGTGAAAGAGGAGGAAGAAAAAGTGTAAGAGCCAGAAAGAAAGGGAATGGAGGAAACAAGGCCCTCTAAATCAACAAGAATAAAACACATATGAACACATGGAAACTGATACAATACGTCCTTTGCATATATATTATGGCTTTCAGTTTAGTGTTTTTGTGGGATTCCTGTGTGTAGAAAAATAGGTCTCTGATTCCTAAGCCTTCTCTTGGACTGTTTTCCTCCTGTTTTAATTTTGTGTAATTCCAATGCATTAGCTTTAATTTGATTACTATTCCTTAGAAGCCTGTTTGTTTTCTTGTGAGAGACAGGAAGGGAGTGGATCCAGATAGAAATGGAGGTGAGGAGAAACTCGAAGAAGTGGAGAGGAACAAAACCATAATCTAGATATATAATTGTAAGAAAAATACATATACCTTATTAACACCTTTTCATTTTAGGTTTCTTTTATTTGAAAAACATTTCTCCTAGGGATTTTCCTGCCTCATCATTTATTCAAGTTTCACCTTATCAATAAAATCTTCTCTGATATCCCAGAATTTACCTAGATTGTCCAGTATATGAAGTTCATGGGATTTTGTGAGACCCTTCTTACAAATACAAAAAATATTAAAAATATCAAATTATATATTTACATATGAAAGAGAGTATTGATTTTGAATGAAAAACCACATCTGAAAACTTAAAATATTGTACTATCACAAATACAAAGTATAGTAAAAATATTTTTTATTAATAACTGGCCATTTATGTCTCCTTAATGCTTTTCTCAATGTTCTTCCTTTTACAGGTGACAACTTTTTAATGTTTTCTATAAAGAGGGAAAGGTTTTACATTATTTCCTCTAGCATGGTTTAAAAACACACTTAAATTTTAGATCAACCACAGCTTCTTAACAACTTGTACTTCATAATATTCATGCAAAATTTTAGGACTCTTGTCATATCTAAGAAGACTATTGCATTTTCTTTTTTAGCATTATAATTCTTTTCTTTTTTCTTTTTATTGTATATTGTATATACCAACCCCAGTTTCCTTCCCCTCCCTTCTTCCTGCTCCTCATACCTTCTCCCCATCTCACTCCCATCATTCCTTAGAGAGGCTCTGGTAAGACCTCCCTTGGGGAATCAACAAGGTCTGTTTTATCACTTAAGGCCAAGGCCTTCCCCCCTGTACCTAGACTGACTAAGAAATATCTCCATAGGGAATGGGCTCAAAAATAAAATAAAATAATCAGTTCATGCACTAGGGATAAATACTGCTCCCTGTTACTGGCCCCACAAACTGCTCAAGCCACCCGACTGTCACCCACGTTCAAAGGACCTAGTTTGGTCTTTTTGCAGGTTTCCCAGCTGTCAGACCAGAGACAGTGAGCTCACACTTGCTCAGGTGAGCTGTTTCTGTGGCCTTCCCCAGAGTGGTCTTGACCCCTTGGCTCACATTATTGCTCCTCCCTCTAGTATTAGACTCCAGGAGATTGTCCCTTTGGTTAGCTGTGGATCTCTGCATCTGCTCCTGTCAGTTACTGGATGAAGGTTCTAGGATGACAATTAAGGTAGTCATCAAGTTGATTACATGGGAAGGGCAGTTAAGGTACCCTCTCCACTACTGCTTAGATTCTTAGCTGGGGATGCTTGTGGATTTATGGGAATTTCCTTAGCACCAGGTTTCTCCCTAACCCCATAATTGCTCTGTCTATCAAGGTATTTCTTTCCTTGCTCTCCCTGTCTGTCCTTTACCCACTTTAACCTTCCTGATCCCTCATGTCCTCCTCCCTTCTACTCCCCTTCTCTTTTTCCCTGCCCTCTCCCCCCTCCCCCACCATCCTCCCCATCCCATGCTCCCAGTTACTCAGGAGATCTTGTTTATTTCCTCTTGGGGGGATATATGCATGTCTCTCTTAGGGTCCTCCTTATTTCCTGGCTTCTCTGGGGGTGTGGTGTGTAGGCTGGTTATCTTTTTTTTTTTTATTTTCTCAACACTAGAAATTGCTCTCATTAGAAAATGAACAGCCTTCTAAGGGGTAATAATAAAATAAAACAAGATAAAACAAAAACTAACATACTGGAGTCATTGAAAACAAAAAAATAGGAGAAAAGAGTCCAAGAGAAGGCTCAAGAATTAGAGACCCATTCTTTCCCACATTAGGAGTTGCATAAAAACTCTAAGATATTAGGGAATATCAAATTTTTGTATTGTTCAATTAATGATTATAAATGCAATTTGATTGAAATATTCATTAACCCTCATATTGTGAGTATACTGTATCAGTTAAATTGCTATGGGGCTAAGTCTCAAAGGGGAGGGAGCCAGGTGTGAGAGCCTTTAAATGCTTGTATGTAGCTCAGGGTGTCTTTAAGTAAGAAATGGAAGACTTCATAGTGAAAAAATTAAGCACATTAAAAAGTAACAAAAATTATGTTAAAATTGCCATTGAGAGTACCTGGAAATGTAGGTCAGTTGGTAGAGTATTTGTCTAGAATGCATGGAGCTTTGAGTTTGAATCCCAGCACTCTACAAACTACAAATCCTAGAACTGGGGAGGTGAAAGCAGGAAACTCAGTCATTCATGGTTATTCTCAACTACATGAAGAACTCGTCTATTCTGGATTAACTGAGACCCTGCTCAGAAAGACAACTGTCATAGGGCTTGGATATACCTACCTGTGAAATCTTTATACATACAAACAAGAAGCAAAAGTTATTGTGAGCTATAGAAATATGTGTCACTTAAGCCAAAGCAAAAATACTTAACTGCCTCTTAGCAACAACTTAAGTATGACTAACATCTACTCAGTACTATCCAAACATGGCTCTTGACAGGTGAAGAGGAAACAAAATGACAGCAATATGACTGATTTCAGTTACAACAGCATATTGCTTTGGCAGAACATATACTAAAATTGGAATGATACAGAGAAAATTAGCATGGCCTCCATTCAAGAATGACATGAAAATATATGGAAAATTCCATATATAAAATAAATTATATATAAATATATATAAAATAAATTATAAAAGCATTTTGGAAGAGGTACATAAAAGATTGTGGGTTCCTGAGACTTCTATTTTGTTAGTTTCATAGTAAATCCATCTTTTTCAAAATTATGATTCTCTGAACTTCCTGATTCTTCTTCCTGTGTTTATGTGTCTCCATATTATTTACATCACATATCCTCTTCCCGCTTGTTGCTAGCTTCTTTTCATCTTCACATACCAGGAAATGAGGCCTATGGTGACTATATGATGCTTCTTTCCATCCCATCACCACAGAGATCCTCAAATATGTTTATTTTGGTTCTGGGAAACTAATCACCCAGAGAGAACTGATTTCCAGACAGGTGATGATCAATATTTTAGAATTATCCTAGATCATGTGTCATTAAATATCTGACTTTAGAAAAGTGTACACAACCATTAGAAGGCAAACAAGTACATCAGTACTAGGCAGAGAAGACCAGGTTTGGATTATAAAAATATGAGCAGCCCAAAGAAGGCAACCTACATTTCTGCAGAGAGCAACTCTAAGGGAGCAGAGCGGACAGTCAATTTATTAGCTACTGTGAGGCCAGCCTACTGCATACCACAGAGTGCTGCATGACAGCTCTCATGCTCACATAGAATCACCTCCCTGCTGGTTGGATGGCCTGTGTGCCAGTTATCTCAGTGAGGCTTTCCCTACTTGTACCTTCTGAGGCAAACCAGGTCAACATCCTCATAGCTGTGATCATTTTAGTTCTCATCATAACTGTGACTTTGTATAACTGAATTAAGTAAAGGAAATACAAGTAAAATTACTTTAAATCCCTTAGAAGTACTTCTGATAAATCTGTCCTTTGACCTCAGGGCAAATGTATTTATTTATTTTCAAATTAATAGTTCAGATATTTTTTTTTATCTTAGCTTTCCTACACAATAGATACTTGTTAAGCTTTCATAGCTTAACTATGTAACTAACATCTCTTAGGAATGAGAGTCTATATCTATATCTTGTTATCAACCATATGATGGGAGATGTCATTTTGTATATGTTTCTCATTCTGGTTAATAAATAAAGCACTGTTGGCCAATAGGAAAGGACGATAGGAGGGACTAAGAGACAAGGAGGAAATAGGAAGTAGTAAGGAGGAGTCAGCATGGAGAATCTGGAGAGAATAGAACCGCCAGCCGCCTCTCGCTGGTAAGACCATGTGGAAATACACAGAAATGGGTTAATAATTAAGGCAGAGCTAGCCGATAAGAAACAAGTAACCGGGCCAACAGCATTGTATCAAATACAGAGTCTCTGTGTATTATTTGGGGCTGGCACGGCAGCGGGACTAGACGGGCGGCAGGTGGAAAAACCCGTACTCCTTACAACCATATACATTGATTCCAAGCAATATAGAATCACAAAATAAAAAGCTGAAAGGAACTTGAAATTGTTTTTTTTTTTTTTTCGTCCCCAACTTTTCTTCAAATGAACACAATATCATGGAGTCATAGGACCAGTACGAATAAGAACAGGAGTTGAAGTCTGCTGTTATGTATGTATGTATGTATGTATGTGTGTATGTACTTATTTTACAACCTAACCACAGTTTCCTTTCCTTCTTCTCCTAGGCCCTCCCCCACCTCTCTTTTGCTACCCCATCCACTCTTCCTCCATTTATCTTCAGAAAGTGCAAGCCTACTGCAGATATCCATAAAGCATGACATATCAAGTTGTAAGTAAGACTACAGCTGTGCACTGACTGTGTTTTCTATCCAGATGTGCTACACAGCTAACATTTCATGATCATCAGTGAATTTGGTGAGGCAAGTAGAAATTCTTAAAGGGGATAATTAGTTTAAAACAAGAGCTTTTCCACATTCAAAAATGAGAAACTATATTATGATGGAGGGGGTTAGGTCTCTAACAATAGGTGGTTTAAAAATAGAACAGCTAAATAAGGGGATACTTAACTTATATGGGATTTTCATAATATCAATTATAAACATTATCAGTTTGATAATTCTTATTCTATACCTAAAAAAGTTGGTTGATATTAGTGACAAGTTAGTTGATATGTATGACAAGATCCAGAAAGGCCTTAGAAAATGTTACTAGAGAAAATAATGCCATTTTGACTGATAAGTAACAAGCCTTAAGAGATATTCAGACAAAGACACAGGCCTTTAAAGAAAAACCAGTCTCAGCATTACATTATAAAGTTAGAGAGGAACAACCTAACCTTAGTTTATCTAGTCATAATATAGGAACAACTGCCAAATGACAGATATTCCTAAGGCTATATAAGTGCTGACTGGATTCCTGTGGAAATGTTAGATATGAGGAAGGAGATTTAGGGAAACTATAGTCTCATGTGGTATATGTTCATCTTTTGTGAAGCAAATGTTAAATTCATGGTCAACTAGTAACAGAATTGTTCCACAAGATAGGAAAGACTTGGTTACAGCAACATTTGGCCCTCAATTGCAGTGGAGGACCTGGCAGAAAGAAGAGGCCATTGAACAACAAAGTAGGGCTAGAGAAATTGATATTTTCTGAGACAAATATCTTGGAGAGGGATATCATGCTGATGTACAAAAACAGTTTGTATATGTTGATCACACCTCTACAGCTTGTGGCTGGCTTTGCATACTGATCCTTCAAGCACGCTTTATTATATCATAAATAATATATCACCACAATGTAATGCGAATTTCTAGTCCTTGGAAGCTATTATAAACTATTTAGGATAGTAAAGAAATGCAGGTTAGTAATTAGTCATCTATTACAATCAAACTTGTAGACATGTTAAGTATGTTTTCAAGGACAGATATTTTTAGGGAAGACAGGACATCCTCAAACACTTCAGAAGGTTCTTTCTTTCTTTTTTCTTTCTTTCTTTCTTTTTTTAATGATATTGAGACTGAATTACTCCTGGCAGCACCAATCTACTCCAGAGAACATGATGTGTGTCAAAGAAACTCCATATAAAATTTACTTTCTTTGTGGCAAAAGTTAGCCACTGGGCAAGACACTGCCCTTGCCTTGATTGCTGAGAGTTTGCTGGCCAAATTGGAGAAGCAGGACACAAAAGAAAGTGACTGCCAAATATCCTGCTTCAAAGTAAAGCCTGTCAGATATTCTAGACCTGTAGGAGATGGATGCTCCAGTGTCACAGAAGAACCTTGGTTGATTCTGCAGGCAGTCAGCTTGTTTCAGTCATTTCTTATAATTTTGGAAGCTGCTTGCTTGTATTTCCTATTTACTCAGGTAATGTTTTTTAAGACAGGGTTTCTCTGTGTAGCCTTGGCTGTTCTGGAACTCATTCTGAAGACCAGACTATCCTTGAACTGACAGGGATCCACTTGTCTTTGCCTCCTGAGTGCTGGGCTACTGATATGATATTATATCCTTCTAAGTTCTCTGATGTAGTTGAAGCCTAGATAGTTTGTTTTCTTGTTAACAAATTCAGAGAAGAAAGTCACAAAAGAGGTGTAAAATTTGTAAGTTTGAGACATATACAAATATAGTTTTGGGTTGGTAATGCAAGTTAGAATAGAAAATGAACTAGATACAGCACTTTTAACTTGCCAAGATAAAACAGATAATGGAGTATTTTCTCTGAATTTGTCAAATGTTAATGAACTAGGCATTATTAATGTAATCATTGCATGTTTATAATTATATATTGTTATTGTACTTAACATACATAGTTTGTCTGTTAATTAAAGCCTCTGCTTTTTATTTAGGTAAAAATGGGGAGATGTGTGATATTTTGTGTCCTGACAATAAAGATTGCCTGCTGATCAAAGGGTGGAGCTAGCCACTAGTTAATCCTAGAAGTTGGATTTAATCCCAGCACTGTGGAGGTGGAGACAGGAAGTGAAAAGTTGGGGTGGAGACAGGGTCTCCATCTTTTTGGTTGGAGAGGTAACAGGTCACTGGCTTCTTTTCTGTTTCTTCCATCTTTTGGATAATTTTATTGATAAGATTAATCAGATTAACACTTCAATTGGGCCAGGCAACCCAGGATGATGAGTAGGGTTCCAAAAGCTAGTAAGGAGTCAAGGGCAGCCCCTCCTTCCCCTGTTAGGAGTTCCACAAGAAGACTAACATACAGAACTGCCACATATATGCAGAGGACCCTCTCAGGCCCAGGCAGCCTCGCTGGTTGTCAGTTCAGTTTTTGTGAGACCCTAGGATCCCAAGTGAGTTGTTTCTGTGGGTTTTCTTATGATGTCCTTGACACCTCTGGCTCCTTCAATCCTTCCTCCCTCTTCACCAGGATTCCCCGAGCTCAACATGTTGTTTGACTGTGGGTCTCTGCATCTGTTTATATGCTGGATGAAGCCTCTCTGGTGACTGTAAGGTTAGGCATCAATCTGAATATAGCACAATATTGTTAGGCATCATTACACTGACATTTTATTTTCTCCAGTTGTGTTTGATTCTATCCTAGGTCTCTGGGATAGCCAGCTTCTGGGTCCTAGTGCTACAGATAGTGTCAGGGGTGTAGTGGGTCTCAGGCTGGACCAGTCATTTGTTGGCCAATTCCAAATCTCTATGTTATCCTTACCCGGGAACATCTCATAGGCAGGAGAGACAGGTTATATGGCTGGGTCGGTGTCACAATTTCTCCTGACTATAAGGAAATGGCCAGTTCAGGCTATGTAACCCCTGTTGATAGGCATCTGTAGTTGCTGATTGCTTACCCAGTTTTTCTATTTCCAGCAATATCTCAGTTTGTGTTTTCTTTAGTGTCTCTATTTCAGTTTTCAGGTCTTGAATTGTTTAAATTGTTTCCTTCATCTGTTTGATTTTTTTTTGTTTGTTTTGTTTTGTTTTGTTTGTTTGTTTCTTGGCTTTCCTTATTTTCTTTCAGAGATTTGCTCATTTTTTTGCATTTTTTTGCTTGGCCTTTTCTTCTATTCCATTTTTTTTCTTCCATTTCTTTAAAGGATTTTCTCATATTATCTTTGAGGGCCTCTATCATTTTTATGAAGTTATTT